TTTTAACCAGTAAGGAAAGTAGTAAAGTCGGACGGGGCCGACTATATGATACCCTTCACCACTGTGGGTATATTAAACAGATGATTCCTAACAGACGTCGCATTATTGAAGAACCATTAACATGAAATTAAACATGTCATTCTGCAACCTATACTAAATTTTGGTCAGGTATAGAGTTGCTTCTTACGATGGGACAAAATAATGTAAATAAATTTAAAGCGAAATATCGAAATATAGGTTACACTTATTTCAGTATGGTTTTTGCATTCGGCCACATTTTGAGTTTTTTATTTACTTATAAATCCAAATTTACTTATAAATCCAAAATCGGACGAAAATATATATGGGAGCTATATCTAAATCTGAACCGATTTTCACGAAATTTAACACACATCGTTCTAGACTTAGTTCACTATGCTATGCGAAATTTCGTGCAAATCGAAGGATATATAGGGACATTGTTGCACCATTTACATAAAATCGGACGAAAATATATATGGGAGCTATATCTAAATCTGAACCTATTTTCACGAAATTTAACACACATCGTTCCAGACATAATTCAGTACGCTATCCCAAATTTCGTGCAAATCGAAGGATATATAGGGACATTGATGCACTATTTACCTAAAATCGGACGAAAATATATATGGGAGCTATATCTAAATCTGAACCGATTTTCACGAAATTTTACACACATCGTTCTAGACTTAATTCCGTACGCTATGCCAAATTTCGTGCAAATCTAACGATATATAGGGACTTTGGTGCAATATTTACCTAAAATCGGACGAAAATATGTATGGGAGCTGTATCTAAACCTGAACCGATTTTCAGGAAATTTAACACACATCATTCTGGACCTAATTCAGTACGTTTCGTGCAAATCGAAAGATATATAGCGACTTTGGTGCACCATTTACATGAAATTGGACTAAACTATATATGGGAGCTATATCTAAATCTGGACCGATTTTCTCGAAACTTGGCAGACATCTCTCTAGGCTTAATTCAGTACGTTATGCCAAATTTCGTGCAAATCGAAAGATATATAGGGACTTTGGTGCACCATTTACATGAAATCGGACGAAACTATATATGGAAGCTATACCTAAATCTGGACCGATTTTCACGAAACTTGGCAGACATAATTCTAGACCTAAATGATTAGGCTGTACCAAATTTCGTGCAAATCGAAAGATATATAGGGACTGTTTTCAACGAAACGCAATAACGTCATTCAAGTCCCAATTTTATACGTTGTGCAAAATTAATCGGACAAATATTAGGAGTTTGGTGCACCATTTATGTAAAATCGGACGATTTTCCCGAAATTTAGCACTTATCATTGTAGATCCAATTCAAATTTCGTGTAAATCGAAGGATGTAAAGGGATGTTGGTGCTCTATTTACCTAAAATCTGACGAAAATATATATGCGAGCTATATCTAAATCTGGACCGTTTCTTATGAAATTCAACACACGTCTTTCTATACTTAATTCGGTACACTATGCTAAATTTCGTGCAAATCCAAGGATATATAGGGACTTTGGGGCCCAATTTACATAAAATCGGACAAAACTATATATGGGAGCTATATCTAAATCTGAACCGATTGGAACCGAAACTTAACACACATCATTCTACACTCAATTCAGTACGATGTGCCAAAGTTCATGCAAATCGAAAGATATATAGGTACTTTGGTGCACCATTTACCTTAAATCGGACTAAAATATTGTCATATATATTTTCGTCCGATTTATATCTAAATCTGAACCGATTTGTCCCAATTTCAATAGTATTCGTCCATGGGCCAAACAAATGAGCATTACCAAATTTCATCCAAATCGGACCTGTACTTTGTTTACAATTTAACATGGACAGACGGACTGACGGACATGTATAAATCGACTCAGAAAGCGATTCTATGCATATTCTCAAAAGGAACCATGGGTTTATCTCGATTCCTTTTGCCTATTATAAACATATACACAAAGACATAATACCCTGTACCACAGTGTGATGAAGGATATAAAAATGTCGAATATATATGAGAACTGTAAATAAATGTGAAGCATATATGGGAGCTATGTGTAAATCGGAATCGATTTCAATAATACTTTGCATACGTACGTCATTCTAGAATCGGACAAACCATGAGAGTTTGGTGACACATTTACCTAAAATCGAACGAAATTATACATGGATGTGATATGCTAATCTGATTCAATTTCAATGAAAATTAGCGCACTCTATTCTAGAATCAAATCAATACAAATCTCGGGAGCTTGGTGGAACATTTACATCAAATCGGACCAAAATATATAAAAAGTTTGTTTTTTTTTCTTTCTCTAGTCCCACATACTGCATGTACAAAATTTCATTAATATTTAGTAAATCCGTCTATTTTTATCCAGTCTTACAAGAACCTGACAACATTGTGGGACGTGCGCACACAATTTTTTTTCAACCAAAGCGGCTATTTTCAAATAAAGCGGCTAAGATTTTCAAAATACCGAAAATTAGACAGCACCTTCCTATAGGCCTATGTCAAAACAGGACCCTATAATTATCATTTCCCCCATATAAATATGTTGGTTTCCAAAAACTAGGCAGCCCGAATTCAAGTTTTTTTGGTTATAAAATGTGCCTAAAACCTAAGGAGATATCGTTATATGGGAGCTAAAGAATTTACTTTTCGTCGACAGCCCAATCCGTTCAGAGGTGTTTAGAGCCATGTCTGCGTTCACCATTCCTGCAAAATTGATAGGCTATGCAGGATAACTTCAAGTGACACAAGGTCAGCAGTTAAAGTCGGAAATGACCTCTCGGAGCCCTTCAATATCGAACGAGGATTCATAGAAGGTGACAGTTTGCCGTGTGACCTGTTTAACAAATGTGAACAAAAATCCGAAGGAGAATAGTGTTGGTCAACATATGCTACTATGGTCTGTGTAAGCAACTCAAAAGCAAGGCCACCTCCCGCCAGACCAAAAGCACTCTCCACATGGATCTGACACACTTTTGTATGGACCTTTAGCATGGGTGCAGCAGATGAGGCAGCTTTTAGAGTGTTTGAGGGAGAAAATTCCGAAAGATCTATGGGCCCATCTGCGTCGGCGGTGAATATCGCCGTCGAAAGAACCATGAGCTATACCATCTATTCTCGGACATCAACATAATCACACGGATCGAGCTGCAGCGACTACCTTGGCTAGGTCGTGTTGTGAGAGCAATACCAAGTGTTTTTTATGCAGAAAGGGAAGACCACGAATCCGATGGAAAGATCAAGTAGAAGACTACGTCTCCGAACATGGTTTTTCCAATTGTGCACAAAACCGACGCGCTTGGAAATCTTTTAAGCTCTGTCACAAGCCAGCTATGTAAGTACTTTGTGCGCAAAATACATGGGCTGATGGATGCAATCGCTTAATTCGACCAAAAAGAGATTCATATTATATCCGCAAATAAAATCTTGAGTTTACACTTATACACCAATGTCTGCGATAATTCAAGACATATCCTTTTAATTTAGAACCAGTGAGCGGAGCAGTACAGTCGGACGGGCCCGACCATATGAAACCCTATACAACTGCCACGAAAATCTAACTTTCTGTGGTTCTATATTCTGAGCATGGGCAATATTTCGTGATATTTGAACCCTCTTGACCGATTAGAGGTAAACAAATATTACTAATATTCAGTGCAGCCCTTCTAATTACTTGTCCAGATTCCCTTCACCGTGGTTTGTGTTGTAATGTGCGGCTTTCAATTGTGATCTATAGCTCGATTCGAAAAAAACACAAAAATTAAGTTTTCGGTCCACTTCTTCCCAATATTATTATTATCTGATCATCACCAAAAATTATAGGCGTTGTCCTTGACCATAACTGGATCCTCATGAAAAATTTCAAAGTGATCAGCGCTATATTTCCGCCCTACAATGTGGTAATGGGTTACTAAATAATATATGAATACGTAAGCACCTGTAAATATTTACGTGTAACTCCCACATTCGAGTACATACGACAATATAATTGGTATCAATTTAAAGGTCAACCACTTCTCTTTGATATACTATCAACTTCTCGGGTCTAGGTCCTACAGGGGTAAATCTATACGCTATAGAATACAAATCTTGTAATTTTTCACACAAAATTCAGGGTCCATTTGACCCGCTAAATATTGACCGATATTTATCAAAACAGGCATGCTTATTCCTTGTCCCGATGCCCTTCTCCATGTAACAATTCGCGTTGTTTGGGTCATAATTGCGGCCTCTGGAGCGACCAGAAAATCAGACAAAAATGAAGTTTTTGGTCCATTTCATCCCCTAAATATTAACCGATCTTTTCCAAAAACAATAGGGGTCTTCATTGGCCAGAACCCATCCTACATGCAAAATTTCGTGAAGATTGGTCCATAACTGTGGCCTGTATCGTGTTTACAAATTATAATGGACAGACGGACGGACGGACGGACACACATGTCTAGATCGACTTAGCTAGTCGAGATATGACGATCGGTATACTTAAAGGTGGGTCTAGAACCAATATTTCGCGGCGTTACAAAGTTTTGGGGCTGCACAATGCTATAATACCCTGACAACATAGATGTGTAGGGTATAAAAGGTTTTCTATATTTTTTACCATTTAAAAATTTGTACCATTTTAAAAAATATCACTGTTAATATTTCCCAACAAAAATCTACAAATTTTTAATTTTATTAAAAAAAAAACATCAAATAAATGTAAGTCTCAATAAAATGTTCAAATAACTTCCTTAAACATTATTTCTAATATTGCTTGTTCGCATTTAAATATAGAGAAACATCAGCAATTGTATACCATACAATGGCTTTTGGGCAAGGGAGCATTTTTATTTTGTTATAGTTTTTTTTTACAGAAATTCAACTAACACATTTAAATCTATAACTAATTCCTATCAATAAGTTATTTACACCACTTTATATGATTTTGTACAAATTAACGAACTTTTAAGATGATACCGCACTGGCGGCTGGTTGTGTTAGATTATTGTTATTGGCCGCCTTCTCTCGTTCCTGTAGCTCTTGCAATTCTTCTTCTTCGCGGGTCAATGGTATTGTCGAATGATTGTACAGGCCCTGGGCCATCAGTTGTAGGGCAAGGGGATTTTTGACACCGCTGGATTTTTTCAATTTCGCACGTTTATTTTGAAACCAAATTTTTATTTGAGCCTCATTGAGGCCCAGCTCCGAACTTAGCTGTTGCCGGCGTTTTTCGGTCAGATAGCGATTTTCATTGAATTCATGCTGTAATGAAAACACAAGGGGAAGAAAAACAATTCTTTATTGTGTTGAATTTTAAAATATAGACAAATATTTAATTATGTCTTATTAATGTTTTTATTTGCTTCGCAATGCCTACCTTCAGTCTTGCTAATTGCGAACCACTAAATGCTGTACGCGGTCGTTTATCTTCTGATGATGATGAGGATGATGTCGTCGATGTAGCTCCCGCTGCCGCACCCGTTGTTGAGCCTGTGCTGCCTGCGCTAGCTGTGCCGGATGGTGAGTTGGCTTTTTCATTTGGTCCAGTGGTTTTCTTAGGTTTTCGCACTCGTGGACCTAGATAATTTCATTTCATTGCAAAAGAGAAGGGAGAGAACAATTAGAATTTGTTACGTTAAAGGAAAACAGCACATAAAAATTCCTCAAAGCAAATAAAACAAAAAATAATTGCGCCACAATGACTGGGCCAGTCCAGTCTACTGTGTAAATTTTGTGTGTTTGGACTTAATTCATTTTCACTTTTATACTGCATCACCAAATCAACCGAATGGTTGGAATGGATGCAGGAGTAGTCCACACCACACCCATAAATTGTATTTGGAAACATTACACGTTTTGTCCATTCATTCATACAGTCTGTGTTGGTCGATCTTTGTTTAACGCTGCCGCTCAGAGATTCCATTTGCCCTTCCCTTCCTCTTTTAAAGATTTATGTGAAATTTTGAAAATTATACGCAAAAACTTTTTCGTGTCGAATTTTTCACTGGTAGTTAGTCATTGCATTATTTCAAACAAACGAACACATTCATCTCTATATCCACCCCCGTTATTATTAAGATTTTTTTAAGTGTGGGAATTAATAGAAGTGAAAGAAAAATAAGGGAGATAATCTGAAGCTCCTTCAAAAACTATACGTTAAAATTCTACGCCTTCTAGACCTTAAATTACGATAAAGCTTAAAACGGGAGCTCTATAGAGGTCCGTGTAGGTGAATAGAAGCTCTAAAGAGGTCCGTATAGGTTAAGAGCAGCGCTATACATGTCCGTATAGGTGAAGAGGAACTCTATAGAGCTCCGTGTAGGTGAAGAGGAGCTCTATAGTGGTCAGTATAGGTGAAGAGGAGCTCTATAGAGGTCCGTATAGGTGAAGAGTTACTCTATAGATTTACGTACAGGTGAAGAGGAGCTCTAAAGAGGTCCATATAGGTGAAGACGAGCTCTATAGAGGTCCGTATAGCTATAGAGGTCCGTATAGGTGAAGACGAGCTCTATAGACGTCCATATAGGAGACGAGGAGCTCTATAGAGGTCCATATAGGTGAAGACGAGCTCTATGGGGGCCGTACAGGTGAAGAGGAACTCTATAGAGGTCCGTATAGGTGAATAGGAGCTCTATAGAGGTTCGTATAGGTGAAGAGGAAATCTATAGAGGTTTGCATAGGTGAAGAGTTACTCTATAGAGGTACGTACAGGTGAAGAGGAGCTCTAAAGAGGTCCGTATAGGGGAAGAGTAGCCCTATGGAGGTGTCTATATGTGAAGAGAATCTCTAAAGAGATCCGTATATGCAAGGAGGAGATCTATAGAGCCCCATATAAGTATTGAGGTCCGTATAGGACCTCTATAGAGGTCCTCATAGATGAGAAGGAGCTCTACTATACAAGGAGAATCTCTAAGGAGACCCGCCTAAATATAGAGGAGCTCTATGGAGGTCCCTGTAAATAAGAAGTAGCTCCATTAAGGTCTGTAAAGGTAAGAAGGAGATCTCTATAAGTCCGTATAGTAATGTAGGAGCTCTCTAGAGGTTCGTATAAGTGAAGAGGAGCTCTCTAGAGGTCCTTATAGGTGAAGTGGAGCTCGACAGAGGTCCGTATAGGTGATGAGTTACTCTATAGAGGTACGAACAGGTGAAAAGGAGCTCTAAAGAGGTCCGTATAGGGGAAGAGTAGCCCTATGGAGGTATGTATATGTAAAGAGAATCTCTAAAGAAATCTGTATAGCCAAAGATGAGATCTATAGAGCCCCATATAGGTATAGGATCTTTATAGTGGTCCGTACAGGTGAAGAGGATGTCTATGGCGGTTCGTCTACGTACGAAGTTACTCCATAGAGGTCCGTATAGGTAAGGATGAGATCTGTAGAAGCCTGATGATGAGGTCCGTATAACTCTCGAAGGAAGTAACCAATTGGAACTATATATACAAATTTAGGTTTTTTTTTCAAACATATCATATTTTCGAATACGGGTACTACTACGAGCACACCCTCTATAATTTGGCACCCTCTATAATTTGGCATACAGGGTGCCAAATTACAGCCACATCAGTGTGAAACAGGGATGCAAAATGAAATTACTGAAATTGTACTGGATTTCAATAAAAAGTGTACTTTTTTCAGTCCGATTGTACTTATTATGTATTTTAATAGCATTTTTATTGTTATTAATAATAAATACAAACATACATAAAGAATTCATTTTTATATACACATAGATAAGATGAACACTTAAAAATTAACAAAAAGGCACATACTAATTCATTTGTGGGTCTTTAATGTACAGTTTACATAAAATCGGAAGAAAATATACTATGTCTAAATCTGAACCGATTTTTACGAAATTTAACACACATCATTCTAAACCTAATTCAGTACGTTGTGCCAAATTTCGTGCAAATCGAAATATATATAGGGACTTTGCAACACCGTATACATTAAATCGGGCAAAAATATATATGGGACATATATATCACTCTGGACCGATTTTCAGGAAACTTAACACACATTATTCTAGACCTATTTCAGTACGCTATGCCAAATTTCGTGCAAATCGAAAGACATTTAGAAACTTTGGTACACCATATACCTTAAATCCGTCGAAAATTGTATGGGAGCTATATCTAAATCTGAACCGATTTTTTCACAATTTCAATAAGGTTCGTCCTTGGACTAAATAAGTGACCTATGCCAAATTTCATCCAATTCGGATCATAAATGCGACCTGTACTTTGTTTACAATTTAACATGGACAGACAGACGGACGGACGGAAATGCATAAAGCGACTTAAAAAGTGATTCTATGCATATTCTTAAAAGGAACCATGTGTCTATCTCGTTTCCTTTTGCCTGTTACAAACATATGCACAAAGGGTATAATAACAGTGAAAAGGGTTTGAAAATTCTGAAATAATAAAATTGAGCCTTAACTTTTGGGAATCAGCTTCGAAATCACCGCGTGTAAAATAATATTGAAGTGATTCCCACTGCCCCAAAATTGTTTCAATAACTTCTTGACGTGAAAGCCATCGAGTTGTTGAGTATTTAAAAACAACATGAATATCTGTACGGATTTATTCCTGAAACATTGAAAAATAATCTCTCTCATAGAACTGTTACAGAAATAATAATTCAAATGTTTACTGAATTTATCAATCTGATGGGGAATACTGAATTTTGAAGCGGCATAGGACACTACGTTTAAACTATGGCAAATTCATCCATTCGTAACGACAGCGGGGGATGGCGATTCATTTCATATTGTATGTTTAAGCACTTATAATACTTTTGAGTGAGAATAATTTGTTGCAATTTAGAAATAGTGCTAAATATGTCATTGGGGTGCTACCGTATTTTTGACTTCCAAATAGTGCTAAAATTAGTACAATTGTACCAACTTTTGCATCCCTGGTGTGAAAGTGCCATGAAAATGCCGAAAACGGGTCAGTAACGTTATATGGGAGCTACTACGGAACTTTGGCCAACATTGATCGATTTTGGTAGAGAGGTTTTATAATCAACGAGACTACAAATATAAAATTGCAGCTGATTTAGTTGAAGGATATAAAAACCCGAACATATAGTGGAACCTTCAAATATAGACATTGTTAACATTTCTTTCTGGAGGACTACCAACCCTTAAACCCCGAAATGCCAATTTAGAGTCAACCAACAAAACATTTGAAGTAAACTTTAAAATTGATAAAATATTGATGAATATATTGAAAACCAGTGAGCGGAGCAGTATAGTCGGACGGGACCGACCATATGATATCCTACACAACTTCTACGAAAATATAACTTTCTGTGGTTCTATATTCTGAGCTTGGGCAGTACAGCCCTTCTAATCACTTGATTCGCTTCAATTTTTTTTTTTTAATTTTGACCTATAGATCGACTCGAAAAAAACACCGAAAATTATAGGCGTTGTCGGTGACCATAACTTGAGCCTCATGGAAAATTTCAAAGCGATCAGCGCGATATTTCCGCCCTCTAGTAATGGGTTACTAAAAATATGTGAATACGTAAGCATCTGTAAATATTTATGTGTAAGTCCCGCACACCAACCACTCCTCTTGAACATACTATCAACTTCTCGGGTCTAGGACCTTCAGGTACAAATATATACCCCATAGAATACAAATTGTTTAATTAAGAATTATTTTCCAATATTTAAAATTATCTTCAAAATTTCCTGCCGTTAGAATTTGCACATCAATAGCAAAAATACAACTTTGTGTTTTCGCACAAAATGACTGATGTCAAATTCTAACTAGTAAACAAAGAAGAGCGACACTTTGCAACAACAAGCGATCACTGGTTTTTGGATTTTCGTCCGCAACACAGCCATATTGGATATTCGTCCACCTTTCAACTTATTATTATAAAAGGTAAAATATTGTTTATCCAAACAATATTTAATAAAGAATCTAATTTATATTTTATTTGAAAAAACTAAACTTATTTCGTTTTATTATACCCTACACAACTTTGTGCAGCCCCAAAAGTTTGTAACGCCGCGAAATATTGGTCCTAGACCCACTTTAAGTATACCGATCGTCATATCTCGACTAGCTGAGTCGATCTAGACATGTGTGTCCGTCCGTCCATCCGTCTGTCCATTATAATTTGTAAACACGATACAGGCCACAGTTATGGACCAATCTTCACGAAATTTTGCATGTAGGATGGGTTCTGGCCAATGAAGACCCCTATTGTTTTTGGGAAAGATCGGTTAATATTTAGGGGATGAAATGGACCAAATACTAAATTTTTGTCGGTTTTTCTAGTCGCCCCAGAGGCCGCAATAATAGCCCGAACATCGTGAAATTTTGCATGGAGAAGGGGATCGGGCCAAAAGAATAAGCATGCCTATTTTGATAAAGATTGGTCAATATTTAGCGGGTCAAATGGACACTGACTTTTGTGTGAAAAATTACAAATTTTGTATTCTATAGCGTATATATTTACCTCTGAATGACATAGACCCGAGATGTTGATATTATATCCAAGAGGAGTGGTTGACCTTTAAATTAATACCAATTATATTGTTGTATGTTCCCGGAT